CTTATATTAACGATGTTTCTTCGAAAATGAGCATTATTATTTTTTATTATTTTAAAGAACATGTTTAAAGAACAAAATTTGATTGCTTTAATACCGTACCATAGGCATCTTTGAAAATAACAGAAAAAACAAAAAAGAAATAAATAGAAAAAAAAAACAAAAACAAAAAAGTTGCACTCTATCCATCAACCTTTCTTTCTTTTATCCATCAACCCATCATAGTTTTATTAATTTCTTTCTTTTATTTTCAAATATTTTTAAGTAGGGCTAAATTAGAGAAAATATTCATAATTATAGTTTAAATAATATTCTTAAATTAAAAAAATAAAATAAAATAATCTTTGTCCTTATTCGTGAGAGAATTTACAAACCTACAACAAAATTAATTAATTAATTAATTAATTATTCTTTTGAGTTCAAACAACTATTTCAGGAAAATGGTTAATTGAACCTAAAAAAAACGCAATAATTGATTTTCAGGTTTTAGCTTATTTTCTATTTTAATGGGTAATTCAATTAATCTATATAAACCCATTAATTTAATTGAAAGGTGGCGTGTTCTCACGAAATTGGATAATTGAACAAAAAAACGCAATTATTGATATTAGTTCATGGTTAGAATAACATAACCAATAGCTTGAGAGACTCAAAATCATTAAATTTAAAGATTAGGGTTTGTTTTATGTTTTAATGACAAATTAAATTAAAATATTTATTATTATTATTATATACATCTAATATTTTGATTAATAATATATATATTTTTTATTCAAAATTCCTCTCGACTTTCGGCGGACACTATGTTCTTTTCGAATAAAAAAATTGATAAAATGTAAATTTATTCCTTTCAAGAAAGTTGAAACTTAATTCTAATTGGAGTTTTATTTTTATAATTTAATAAATCTTCACAAATAGTATCTACCATGTGATAAAAATCTTTCTAAATAATTCTTATATGAAGTTCTTATTAAATGATGTCAACTAATTATAATTTAAAAACTATAAAAACTAAATAACTTTACTTATAATTCAAGCAAAAGCGTTTTTAATTATTCACAAATAAACAAACCAATTAAAAAATGAAAATATTTATTTAATTAATTATTAATTTATATAATGTACATTTTTCATTAAATAACTTCGAATAATCCAAATGAGAGTGATTTATATAATATCCATGATTTCCTCAATCCGATTTTAACTTTTTAAAATCGGATTTTCAAAGACGTGACCTGCGAATATATTTTAATTTTGAGAAAATAATACCCACCACTTTTCTTTTTTTCTTTTTTCTTTTTACAAGCATACTTTAAATTTTAATTTAATTAATTAATTAATTTCTTGTATTTTGTTCAGTGCAATCAACTCTTGTCCTTCTATTTATTATTATTATTATTTAATTTTGCACCTGTCCATTACAAGTTTGTTTTTTCTATTAACGCCCGTATCTAGTTTACTGCTCAGATTGTAGTAAATATTATTTAATTTTGATTAAATAAGAATATTAAATTAATTTTTTTTTTTTTTTTTTTAATTTGGAGTCAAGTCACGTGAAGTCAGAGATATTTTGTATTTGTCAACTAAGAGTAACTTTTGTTGAGAGACTTTGTAGTGTGAGAAGTAGTTATTTATCGGTAAACATTTTGTTTATACTGATTGGTTACCACTCGTGGATGTTAGTGAATTTATTTTCTCTGAACTACGTAAATCTTTGAGCCTCTTTATTTAATTTTTGTTGATAGGTGTGTGAGTGGGATTGAGGATCTGAGTGTGGGGCCTGCATAATTACTTGTCTTCATTAACCACCTAGGCGGGCTATAATTAAATCCACCATGACTTGTAGCCACCAAGAGTTTGGCAAGTCCTCTACGTTCAACCTGAACATAATTTTTGGAAGAGACTTGACTCAAATGGAGCAAAAGCATTTTGTATTTGTTCACGGAGCGTGCCATGGAGCTTGGAGCTGGTTCAAGATCAAGCCCCTGCTCGAGGCTGCTGGCCACCGTGTAACGCTGCTGGACATGGCTGCCTCGGGCATCCACAGGAAGGTCATCCAAGATGTGCACTCCATTGTAGACTACTCTGAGCCTTTGTTGAAGGTCATGGCCTGTCTTCCTCCAAATCAAAAGGTGATATTGGTGGGTCATAGCCTTGGCGGCTTCAACTTGGCTGTGGCTATGGAGAGGTTCCCGGACAAGATAGCTGCCTCTGTTTTCGTGGCGGCCTTTGTCCCTGACACTGACCACAAGCCTTCCTATGTCCTTGATCAGGTACCTATTACTTTTACCGTCTAATCAAAAAGTTGATTACAGAGCATTCAAAAGAATCTATTCTAAATTTTTAAAGAATAAAGGATGAATCTTTGGATGACCCAAAACTCAAATTTTGTGTTGATGCAAGTACAATGAGCAAACCCCCATGGAAGCTTGGCTCGACACTCAGTTTAGTCCTTATGGAAACGAAGCTAAGCCTTCAACATCAATGTTTTTCGGACCCGATTTCGTGGCCAAGAAGCTCTACCAACTCTCCCCTCCCGAGGTTTCTCTTTCTTTATCTGTTACATTTGTTAAGAATATTTAGTATTAAATTATAGTTCATCATATATATCAGGATTTAGCACTGGGGCTGAGTCTTGTGAGGCCAAGTTCATTGTTCATGCAAGACTTGTCAAAGGCAAACAATTTTTCCAAGCAAAACTATGGATCCGTGAAGAAAGTATACATCGTTTGTACCGAAGACATAGGAATCCCAGAGGAGTTCCAAAAGTGGATGATCCACAACGGTGGGATTGAAAATGTGATGGAAATAAACGGCTCTGATCACATGCCCATGTTTTGCAAGCCTCACCAGCTTCTCCACTGTCTCCTTCAGGTTGCTGTCAGCTGCGCCTAATCCCAGATTTTACTTCCAACGCCTCTGAAATAAATGAAACGGAAGGCAATAATAATAAATGTTCTATAATTCTGCAAGACTTTCTAAATGTTGGGTTTGGGATGTTATGATATGGAGTGCTGCTTGGTTCATTATTGGGAATGCACGTCAATGTGTTTCTTTCAGTACCTAAAACTTGTTATTTACATATCTTTTATAATTCTGTACGTCTTCCTTAATTTGGGGTTTGTGATTTTATGATATGATCCATGATTGGGCATGCGTGTCAGTTTGTCTATGACATAAATAGAATTTTTTTTTAAAAAAAAAACTCAACTAACAAAAACACTATATCAGATCCAAGGGCTATGATTTGAAGATAAATGCACCTATCCTAACGTAAATGTATGGTGCAAGTTGTATATTCGTTCTTTCATGAAAACATACGTGCGTAACGGTATTTCATAATTTTGAAGTAATCATGCTAACATGATATGCATAACATATCATTTAGAGGTATTATGTATCATACGACATGATATGCATAAATATATTCTCCTACCGACTCCACAAACTGTCAAGAATCTTTGTGACTCAATTAAATCGAGGGACCTTGCTCTTGTGTTCGAGTTCAACTATTCACTTTCTTGATTTAACTGACTTGGGGCAACCTCTTTCTTAATTTCTAGTTTAAAAAACAAAAAAAAAAAAAAAAAAAAAAAAAAACTT